AGATCTCATGTAGATACATGCTCCGTAAGCAACCTCGCTAGCATCAGCGAATCCATGAAGTTGGAGTTCCACTGCTCTTGCTAAACAGATGTGTCTAGGAAATGCAATGTTTTTTAAGTCAGATATGCTATCCTTAAGTGTTCTCCACGCTGTATGAATTTCCATTGGAACTGTTTCATCCCAAGTTAATTGTAGTTTCCATATATTCTGAAGTAATATCTTGGCCTTAACAATGACTGGCCCTATCAATCCAAGAGGATCGTAATAAGATGCTGTTTGTGATAAAACAACTCGTTTGGTTATCTTAGATACTTCCTGATGCGTTGTCAGTCGGTACAAAAAACAATCTTGTTGTGGATTCCAGAGAATCCCTAATGTTTTGTGTGCCTCCATAAAATCGAAGCACCACTGCTCTTCTTGCTGCTCATTTGTTGGGGATTCAATGAGCTGAGAATGGTTAGAAGCCCATTTGCGTAGCTTAAAACCTCCGCTATTTAATAATTCTGTAATCTGAGTTTTCAATTTTATCGCTTGTTCAAGTGTTTCAGCTCCAGTTAATAGATCGTCGACATAGAAATCTCTCATGACGATATCTGCTGCCTCAGGATAATTTTGTTTTTCCTCCTTCGCTAATTGAATCAATGTACGCGTAGCCAGGTATGGTGCCGAGGACAATCCATACGTTATCGTGTTGAGCTCATAACTTCGAATGATTTCTTGAGAATTATTTCTCCACAAGATCCTCTGATGTAAACAATCTTCTGGATGTATGAGTACTTGTCTGTACATCTTCTGAATGTCTGCTGTAAAAACTATATAGTGCAAACGAAATCTTAGCACAATAGACAGAAGGTCCTGTTGAACTGTTGGACCACTAAATAATGTGTCATTCAATGAGATGCCACTAGTGGTTTTAGCTGACGCGTCAAAAACTACTCTGAGTCTGGTTGTAGTACTGGATTCCTTTATAACAGAATGATGAGGAAGAAAATATCCTTCTTTCTTGTTTACTTCCTTGACCTCAGTCATGTGTCCAAGAGCTTCATATTCCCGAAGGAAACTTCGGTAATCCTCGTATAATTCAGGCCTTGCGTTTAATCTTCTTTCTAAACTTAGCAATCGTCTTAACGCTATCTCATATGACTCGCCTAATTTCTTCCTTTGATTATTGAAAGGTAATCTTACTGAAAAACGTCCAGAAGATAATCTCTTGAAAGTTTCCTTATAATGTTGTTCACATTTCTCATCTTCCGGTGATAATATCCGTTTAGCTGGTAGCTCTTCTATTTCCCAGAATCTTTGCACAGCATCGTCCAGTGTACCTCGAGAGATATGGCATAAACTAGTTGTTAGAGGTTCAAGAGAATTAATCTTGCCAGAAACTATCCAACCGAACTTCGTTTTTTGTAATATAGTTGAACAAGAATTTAATTTAATCTGTCCTATACATAGTAACTGATAGAAGTATTCAGCGCCAATAAGCATATCAATATGCGACGGTCGATCAAATCCAGGATCTGCTAACCTTACATTTTTAGGAATGCCAAGTGATTCACGATCAATTGTCCTTGACGGTAAAAAATCTGTTAACTTACGAATAACTAAACAATTCAGCTTAAGTGTGAATGCATCAATTCTGGATTTGACGATAACATTTGTCGACAACTTAATTTGTGAAAGTGTTTCTCCAATTCCCTTGACGGGAACATTTACATTGGTTTTGAATAATTTCAACTTATCACAACATTGTTCCGCAATAAAATTCGATTGAGATCCCGAATCTAAAACTACTCTACATGAGTGGAATTTTCCTGTAACATCAGCGATATCTACTACGGCTGTAGATAATAAAATGTGTGAAGTGTCACTCAATTGTGAACTTAAAATCTGATTAACTGGTTTAGAATCTTGAGTCTTGTTTTGCTCTTCCTGATAAGCATTCTCTCCGCTTGCTGTATGAGTATCTTTTGAATTAAGCGGGTGTAATAAAGTATGATGCCTACGATCACACTTCCTGCAACTACTTGCTTTACATGCGGAAACCTTGTGATTTGCTCTGAAACAATTAAAGCACAAACCTGCCTTCTTTATAGCATCTGATTTCTCACCTTGACTCATAGCCTGGAACTCTTCGCAGTTTTGTATGTTGTGATTCTTTCCACAAACATGACACTTAACCTTACTCTGTGTTTCAAGTAACGCCTGCTTTGGTTTACTTGATGTTACCTTATTCGCATTTAATTGCTTTTGATTCGCTGCATTCGCAGCATCCTTGGGTATCGCTTCTAAAACATGACATCTATTACGCAAGAATTTTAAGTATTGTTCTAATGTGGGCATCTCTGAGCCATCTAGAGATTTCTCCCATTCCATCTGTGTTTTCTTGTCTACCTTTGAACCTATCAAATGTAAGAGTAATGCATCCCAGCCAATCACTGGCTGCTCTAAAGCCTGCAAAGAATGTATGTGTTTAAGTGCAGTGTCGATCAAAGTACTCAAACCCAGTGAAGACTCTTTAGTTACAACTTGCAAATCGAATAATGCTCTAACGTGATTTTGAATGATAATGCGTTTATTGCTATATCTCTCTTTTAATAAGTTCCATGCGATTTCATAATTCTCTGCAGTTGAAGTTAATGACTGAATAATGTGAGCTGCGTTGCCCACCAAGCATGATTTCAAATAATTGAACTTTTGTACTGTCTGAATTATTACGTTACTGTGAACTAAGGCATTGAATGTGTCTTCAAAACTTAACCACTCCTCGTATTTGCCATCAAATTTCGGCAAGTTTATATGGGAAGCTTAATACCATTGTTATTTGACGTTAAGTTTCATAATTGAGTCAGTATTGCTTGCATATCTGTATTAGGCTGAGCATCAATGGTCGAAGCTACACTGTTTCTTCCAGAATCTAATTGGTTTTGCGCACTTGCTATGGCCTCGTAATAACTATCCTCAAATAGTTGTCTAGATGCGTCATCATTGGCATTTTCAGCTAATTCGATTGCCATATGCACTTCTTCAAATTCTGCGAGCAGAAGATTTGCCCTTTCAAGACGAACCTTTAAGACATAATAATCGCGATCGTGTACATAATCGTCTAAGAAAGTTTTAAATCTCGTGAGAGATGCTTTAACTAGACCGCGACGCTTCTTTAACCTGCTCAACTCGTTTTCACCCATTGTGTATTATTTCTGAAAATGCCTCGTAATGACGCTGACTTCTATACTAACCTTAATGGTGTATCTTATTTGCCTTACTGTATTTCTCAAAGTATCTAAACGTTTCACCTTAATGTGGTAATCACGTTAAAGGTATGCTTGCTAAAACGTGTATCCGTAGCTCTATATCCGATGTATCCGTTGTTCGTTATTCGTTGTATCCTGTGTCCGTTATATTCTGACTCGAAGGACCAAAAAATGTTCCGACTTAACCAAACTGTAAGTCTTGCCACGTATGCCACTCTTCGTATCAAATGTTTGCGTACGTGCGATCCCCGTTAAATTAATAACCTTTGATCTTGTTGAAAATGATATAATCTTTATTGATTTGACTACAAGAATACGTCTTTTTTTTACAAGAAAAACTGAGAGCACATGTCTCCCTTTTAACGAACGAAAACTTAAACTTAACTGACTAAACGACAATCTAGCGCCACCAACAATTTGTGTACATCAGCGCCGCCCGCTCTAAGCGCCATACATCTAGCGCCATCGACTCTAAACGTAATACAATGCATGCTGGCGCCAAGAAAATTAAAACAAGGCGCGAAATCTAAACAGCCTCCATTTCTAAGGAGAAATATGTAGTGGCTCTACTATTTGATATCTCGGGAAGGGTCACCAGACGTTATCTTTCGATAACGTCTGGTGGCCCTTAGTCCTAAAGGATCGAGAATGTCTTAAGAACATCTTCGAAGTTCTTAGGAACTATTTCCAGAATAGGGAAGTGTGTCTTTCGATAGGCGATAATGAGGTTTCTAAACAGGCAACAAGGGGATGCCCGCAGGGGTCGGTCCTAGGACCAACCTGTTGGAATATAATGATTTACTCAAATCGTTAGAGGAAACAGCCGAGGGTCGCTTCATTGCATATGCAGACGATTTGATTATATTAGTAAGCGGTGACTCTCGAAAGAAAATAGAAACGGAAAGCGAGATTCTGACAAATCAAATAGTGGAATGGTGTAAATTGGCCAAACTTCAGATCTCCGAGCGAAAGACGGAGGCAATTCTGCTTAAAAGCAACGAAATACGAAGGGCCAATAGGGGAGGAAGGCGACCGGACAGGAAACTTAAAGGGAAGAAGGCCAAGGCAAACTTTAAGAGTAAATCACCCACCATAAAAATAGGTGGATCGAAAATCAAATTTAAAGATTCAGTCAGGTACCTTGGTGTTCACTTCGATAGAGGCATGAGAGTGACTACGCATTGTAAGTATCTGAGCGATAAGGTAGGTGTAATATTTGATAGACTAGGGAAATTGGCAAAATCCCAATGGGGACTTAAGAGCAGAACATTGAGTATAATTTACCGGGGAGTGTTCGCCCCGATCGTCGCGTATGCGGCTGCGGGGTGGACGGACCTGTGTACACAAAGAGACACTAGAACACTTAGGGCTGTACAGCGCAAGGTCCTTTTGTCCCTAACAGGGGCGTACCGTACAGCATCATGGGAGTCTCTCTGCGTTGTAGCTGGGCAGACTCCTATTGACCTATTATTGATACAGCGAAGAGCACTCTATGATATTAGGGAAGATAGAGATACAACCATAAACGGAATATTAGTCAAGGGGGACTCTGAGAATGCGGAAAAAAGAATCAAATTAGAAATCGTTAAAATGTGCCAAAACAGGTGGGAAACCACTATAAAGGGTCGAACTACACATCTTTTCTTCAGTGAAATCCGAAAAAGACTAGAGGCAAATTGGGTAAAGACCAATTACTGGATTTCGCAAGTTCTCACAGGGCATGGCAATTTTCAGATGAAACTCAAGTCGCTAGGGCTGGTTGAATCAGGCTCGTGTACACGCACCGGCAGAAATGCTGTCCCTCGGCGTTCGGCTGCAAATTTACAAATGCATGGAAAGCTATTACAATGAATCTCAAAATTACACGTAATGTTGTAATTATGCACAACAATTTTTTACAATATTAAAACATTTTGTGTGTAATAAAAGTATTATTATGAATATTGACAAGCGAAAGACACCGGAGTATCTCATTCGTACTAGTAACAAATGTGTGAGACAGCGAAAGGACACCGCGAGCAGGCATCACGTCCAATTACGCTTTCTCTCTCGATCGTGCGCCTTGCGCTAAGGATAGAATATCGGAGCACGCCCCACTACTTTCTCCCTCCGCGCTCCACGCCTCCTCCGCGCTCCCAATAACACGTACGTGTGCGCTCGGTACGAGTGTGTAGCGCCGCGCGCCTAACGCCGAGGGACAGCATTTCTGCCGGTGCGTGTACATGTGGAGCCTCGGAAGATGCGGTCGAACATTTCATCATGAAGTGTCCTCTATACGAGCCTCAGAGGACGATCTTAAAGGAATATGTCCCTGCAGATAAGTGGATATTGCCCGAGGCGACGCACTCTTTAGCGTCAAATGCTGAGGCATTTAACATACTAATGGACTATGCAAAGGAGGCACTATGGATCAAGCAACCTCAAGTGAAGGACTAGATTCAGGAACCACTCATCCAAGATGAGTGTAGCCTTGGTAACGAGGTATAAATGCCTGCGCTTGGGACCCTACAATCATCAAGGAAAACCAGGCGCGGGTTGTGATCATACATATTTATGAATACACGTACCTCGGAGTGGTTTAGGGAAAATTATTATTATTATTATTATTATTATCATGCAGTTAATTAATAATTAATTAATTAAAGTTTACAGGATCAGGGCGTGCGTCTGGGTCGAGACGTTCATGTGAGCGGGCCTCCCCGTGGTTCCCCGTGGACACGACACACCTCAACGGGAAACGCAGATGAGGGGTGTCGTGACAAAACTGCTCACACCTGCAGAATCGCCCTGCAGGAGCTGCTGGATTTTTCCATCGCCCGAACCTTGGAGGTGCCATTTCGCTGGCAAGTAGTCTCAGGTGAGTTGCATATGCCTTTATGGGCGAGGTGGCATGTTTGCGCCCGATTCGTCGGGTCAAGCTCACACTAAACTGTCCCTATCCCCCTATGAAGCGCAGAGGGTCGCCCTGCGCGATATGGTCAAGGATGTTGACTGGACTTGGCCTCAAGTGACGCCCGTCTTGGTGTCAACAAAAGAGGTACTCTCCATTTTAGTCGACTTTAGTAGGAAATCCCTTTGGTTAAAGGGTTACGAAAATGTAGCTAGAGAATAGGTCCCCTGCGAGCGTAATATTAGACTAGATGTATAAGCATGCGTAATCAAGCGAAATAAGGTAGTTCTGGGCCATTCACCTCTACGTGTCGGAGCGTGGAAGCATGGGAACGCAATCCCGTAACCTTCACCGGGGAACTGCGCGACCGAAAGGTTAGGTTTCAGGTTAGCTGGGAATAGGCAGAGCTCATCCAACCCTACATCCAATGGGGCCGGTGCCACACAATTGTGTGGACGATATCGGCTTCATCCCTTCCTCTACTACCCATCCTTATCCAACAGGGTCAGGGCGACTGTCCAGGATCGGGACTGTGTGAGCGTACCTCCCCGTGGTTCCCCGTAGGCGTGACACGTGAATGGGTGCAGGGGCTAGGGGGCGGTAGCGGGCCCCAAATCGGAGACCGCGCCGCCGCCACACCGGGAGTTTGGCGGGTGGTTGCGCCATCCGGTCACGGTCGCGGCGAAACCGCTCACCCTGTGTATACGTCCGCACAGGCGCTGCTGGGTTTTTCCATCGCCCGTCTCGGGGCGGTTCCGTTGGAAAGTGGAGGACATTGTTGCGTATGCCCGCATGGGCGAGGTCGCAAGGGTTACCTCTCCTTCGGGAGGGGGCCCGTACAGTGAATGTCCCTATTCCCCGGGGGTGACGTTTGTCGTGGTTGACGTGACCTTGAGCTTCCGTTCGGTGGTTCTCTGGTGCAGGGATCGTGGCTCGTCTCCCGCAGCCGTGCATCCTGGCTTGCCGTACCGCCGGCCTGGCCCGCTGGGCCCTTGGTCGCTCCCGTTCGGAGACGGGGACTCCTTGGGCCGGGGGCTGGTCATGGCGCGGGCGGCGGATTCGCTGGTCCCTCGCTCGGATGTTGGGCCTTCTCGGTCCCTTGAGCCGCTCTGTGGGTGGCTCTTCGGGTCGGGGTTACAGGCTTTCTTTTCCGCTTGCAGGTGTGATTGCGAGGGTGGGCCGTTCGCTAGTCCCTTGCGTGGGGGTTAGTCGTCCTCTCGGTCCCTCGAGCCGCTCAAGAAATTGACGGTATTATGAAGCGGTTCCTGGGAGACCGGTGGATGGCCTTCCTTCGTGTTTAGGCGAGACTGCGAACGGCTTGCTGGTCCCTCCAGCGGTTGATGGCCTGACCTGTCCTTGGGGTCGCACTCGTGTGGCTCTTTGGAGCCGGGGTTCGGGCCTTCCTTCCGTACGTAGGCGTAATCGCGTATGCCAGGATGGATTGCAGGCAGATGTCGGGATTTAATGCGAATACAAAGCCTCTCAAGTTCAAGTCACGTACCTATCTTCTCGTGGTGCCCCTGAGCCCTCTCTCGTGGAGAAAGGTGGCTGAATGGTGTCGTGGCGTTTCACATACCCTTTCCTTCCCGTCGGGGTGTCCTGCTTCGACATGGGCTCCCCCGGCAAACATCCTCCCCTCACCGCAGCATATTCCTTCCTTCCGCTCACTCCACTGCCTCTTTTGGCGGGAGCGTGGGCGGGTGTTGCGGTTAGTGCCCTACCGTGCCCGTCGTCGCCTGCCCGACTGTGTCGGTCCTGACCTGCCGATCCCCCGGTGTATCTAGGCTTGGAGACGTATAGGAGGCTGTACGGTTCTTGACCTCCCTTCCACCATTTAATATATGTCATATGAGTAATTTTAATCTTGATAGTCAGGTGAGGAGTGCTCGTCGGGCCATCCGCTTCCGGCCGGACGAGCCAGCTTTTTCGGAAGTGGTGGGGGCCTCTGTCGCCGGGTCGAGCGTGGGTCGTGTCTCGGGTCCGGTGGTGGCCTCCGCTTCCTCGGGAGCGCCTCACCGGCCTGCGTCCCGACGGTCCCGCGGCC